GGACATTTCACCGTTGAAGACCATACATTCCTTTAATTCCATGTACTTGCATGTGTATGTATATCTATGGATATTCAGAATATTATGTACCAATTCGACTTCTTTTTCCAAAACGAATCCCAGGCCAGATGATTATCTTGTGATTCCCTCCGAGCTCCCCGGGACCAAAATGTTTCAGCCCGCTCAGGCATCAGCGAAACCAACACTCCACAAGGCTGAAAGGCTTATTTTTCGAGAGATAACAGTCGTCATGTATAGAATGATCGACTGTCATGTAGAATCCATTTGGCATACAAAATATGCGAGACTATAGGCAAGGTGTAACTGTACGGTTGAAGCAGCGTATCGCAGGTCAGCGGAACCCTCCGGCGGGACTCCGCTGAGGACTCCCTACAACTTAAGACCAGGTACTTTGGTGGCAGATCCTCACATTGTGCGAGTTCGGAATTGCTGCGTAACACGATTCGTCAATCACAGGAATAATGATCAAATGATAAATGAAAAAAAAAAATAAATAAAACCGACTCTCCAAGCCCCGGGACCCCAACCGGAAACCCAGATCACGTTTTTCCTCTCCACTCCCCGTGCGCTGTTCCGTCCCTCTGAAGGCGTACACTTTCTCTTCTCATTCCTCCACCTTCATGGATGTAGCTTAAGTCTTCTAAAAAGGAGTTACCTGCCGGTTCCCTCCGCGCAAGTCCGCTTCATCTCCGCGCGAGTTTCATACTTCGCGCTCTTATCTGAACACTCTCCGCGATTTCTCCTCTCTTTCCTCCCAATCTCATTCTCTTCCTCTCTTTCCACCATCCCACACCACTCCAGGGTGCACATAGGGGTCTCCTAACTCCCACAATGGAATCTCACACCCCAACAACGGAGTCGTCTTCTCATAAGCGGCCTCGGTCTCCCGCCAACGATCATGGCATGGCATCGAAAATGCCCAAGACGCACTCGAACCACCTGCAGATAAATTATCTGGCACGGCAATACCCTGACAACCTCCCACTCGTCTCCATCGACGATACCATGCCCGCGATCATCCATCTACTCGGCGAATACGACGGCGTTCTACACCGTCACGAGAGCATTGCCGGAAATTTAGGCGCATGCCCGCTCGGTCCGATCTTGATCAAGCGCTTCGAGCGCCTGTTCGATGGACCGCCGCAAGTGTTGAAATCCCATGGGAAAGACGGGCCCACGGTGACTTGGCTCGATGTGGTCGAATTCGCAAAGAATAAGCCCGAGCAATTCAATCTGGAGAAGTCGCGCAATGGCGTGCGAGTCTGCCAGTTCTATACCAAGCAGTGTCGCGTGGAAATCAGTGAGGAGGATTTCGTTTTGATTGCCTCTGGCATGCCGCAGAAGATGATCCCACCTCAGCCTATCATCGAGGATGAGGAAAAGGAGCTAGGCGCGCTTGAGATTCTTGAAAAGAACTTGTACCATATCATCCAGATGGCTGATCAAGGTAAGGAATCACTATGTATATCAGTCTAGGAGTTGACTGACAATCTTTGTGTTCAAGTCTCTGCTCGAGCGCGACAGCTTAACCATCGTTTGAAGAATCGTCGCAATGCTATTGTCACTCGACGAGAGAACGATGCTTCTCTACACACGCAATCCCGAAATGTCCCCGAAGTGTGGCGCGATGCCAACGGTCATGGCCCAGGTAACGGTCATGTATCATCATCTCACCCCTCTCCGTCTGGTTTCGTCGCTGTCAACGCCCATCGCCCTGAACCCGAGCACACCGAGGAGAACCCTGTGTCATCCCAATCATCTCAATTCATGTTCTCACAATCCACCGATAATGTCACCATGATCAACGGACAATCGATCAAAGGTGCCTCCCCAACCACCCGTGCAGATCTGATGAAGAGGTTTTTCACAACGGCTGACCGCCACGCTCGCGGCTATGAAGATGCAGCAGCCCCAGCAGCCAACCCTCAGCCACTCCCACGGCCCCGTGCCTCCGATCCAGCAGACTACAGTCTTTACAACCCGGCGACGGCAACCCCAGTCGCCATCCCAAGCACCCCATCATCCCTCCTCCCACCGCCAAAATCAATCCACCAAGAAAAAGACGACGGGGGCCCTTTCAAGCTAGAAATGATAGCTCGCATGGAAGAGCTCCAGCGCGGCGAGCGCGTCATCCCACCCTGTGACCGCTGCCGCCGCCTCCACATGGACTGCCTCAAGAACCTCACAGCCTGCGTTGGCTGCACGAAGAAACACGCCAAGTGCTCCTGGCGCGACGTCAAAGAAGACGAAGTGGCAGCATTGCGTGCGGGAATCACCACCTCAACGGTATCCAACGAGCGTCCCGACAACGATCGCTCCAGCTCAAACGTCACCCCACCCCGGTTTATGGGTCCACTACCCCCGATCTCCGCCGAGCGCGAGCATCCCCGAGAACCGCCCTTCGAGCCAGAGGTCAACGCCTACTACCAACACCGCCGTGAGTCGGCCCCTTCGGCCCCGAACCTGGCTCCTGGCTCTGCGGTCCCGATGGAGCTTCCTTCAGGTGATAATTCCCCGCGACGGGCAGTGAGCGAGACAGAAAAGAGGGACCGCCCTCATGCCTCTGCTGGTCGTGTCTCGGATCGCTCCGAGGACGAAGATCCCGATGCCAATCAACGTCTTAGACAGGCTATTATGGATACTGTTGATCATCACACACGCGTCGCTGCCGCTGTCCAGAAGAGGGAGCTTGGTGCCGAGCGTGGAGAACACACAGGTATGAGTGCTGCTGCCGGTGTTATTCCTGCTCCAGGCCCGGCTCCGGCTTCTAATGCTGGTTCTTATGACCGAGAACGGGAACGGGAACGTGAGGCTGATCGTGACCGTGACCGTGATCGTGATCGTGATCGGCGTATGGTGCATGCGTAAAGTATCGACTTTTCTGTGTATTGATTTGTACTTTTTTCTTTTGTTTTTACATATTGGCAATGGGTTGGGTGTGGGAGTACTATGTTAGATATCCCTCTGTTTAGCGTTATTCTTTCTTTTTTTTCTTTTCTTCTCTCATTGAACATATCTACTTTATCTCCTTTAGAATGACTATGTAAAATATTATCTACTTCTTCAATGCCCGAGGCCCGTGGCCTCTGATCTACGTTGGTCTGTGTCATACACTAGAATGGATTCAGATATCTGTGGGGCCGGATATATACTCTGCCCTAAAGACTCCCGTCGGATAGGTTTCCCCGTCGTATACAAGAGCTACGGCATATAAATCCGATCTGACATCCGACGGGGGGATTGGCGGGGATTGCGGGGTGAAACAATCTGAAGGTTACCATTCGAGAGCTTCTGATTGACTGAGGGAACTTGTATCTCATGGGGAAAGTAAACAACCACACCCCACCTTCTATACCATATAAGCAGCTTAACCCCGGATTTTCCAGCTTAAACCATTCACCATCTACCATTCCTCTCTATACTACAAAGCTACATCTACAAACCCCCACTATGGACCCCTCCAAAATCAAGATCCCCCCAATGAAAGACCAAACCGTGGACAACATCACCGCGAACGTAATCACCATCAACAGCCTCTGCCCAGACCCACGCCTAAAATACATCCTCGAACGCCTAGTAACGCACCTCCACGACTTCGCGCGCGAAACCCGCCTCAGCAGCGCCGAATGGATGACCGGCCTCAACTTCCTAACAGAAGTCGGCCAAGCCTGCACAGACGTACGACAAGAATACATCCTGCTGTCCGACGTCCTAGGCCTCTCGATCCTCGTCGACTCAATCGACCACCCCAAGCCGAAGGGCTCCACAGAGGGAACCGTGCTGGGTCCGTTCCACACGCACGACGCCGAGGAAATGCCCGCCGGCGAGTCCATGTCGCATGATCCGCACGGCGACCCGTTGCTGGTTGTTTGCTCGCTGCGGGATTTGCAGGGGATGCCGGTGCACGACGTCAAGGTCGATATCTGGGAGACGGATTCGACGGGCCATTATGATGTCCAGTATGCGGGGAGGGTGGGGCCGGATGGGAGGTGTGTTATGCGCTCGGATCAGGACGGGGTGTTTTGGTTTATGGCGATTACGCCGGTGCCGTATCCAATTCCGCATGATGGGCCTGTTGGGAGGTTGCTGGAGATGTTGCGGCGGCATCCGTATCGGCCTTCGCATATGCATTTTATGTTTGAGAAGGAGGGGTTTGATCATTTGGTTACGTATGTTGGGCTGTTGCCTTTTTTGACTTTTGTGAGTTATGGCTTGCTAATTTGCGTTCTAGTGCTCTCTATCTTCGCAATGACCCTTATGAAACATCCGATGCGGTCTTCGGCGTCAAGGATTCCTTGACTGTAGACATTGGTAAGGCGGACGCGGAAATCGCTAGGAAATATAATGTCCCTGAGGGCCATGCTCTCCTTACATATGACTTTGTGCTTGTCTCCGACGAAGAGACGAAAGAGTTGCGTGCGCATAACTCCAAGGTCGCGCTGGACAAGCTAGGACGGAAAGTCAAGATTGTCAATGGGCTGCCTGTGCCGGACCTGGATTAAATGCTATATGAGAAAACAGGTATAGATGAGAAATATATCTTGACGTATATAATCGATTCTTCCGATACTGCCTGGTTTTCGTTCTAGTAAGAAGAAGACTAGAATTGCACGTGAATGCAAGATCTCAAGTTAGCCGGAACTGAGACTGCCAAATTCAGCCCGAATATCCGTATCCTGTCTGTATTCCGTTGATTTCTGGTCTCGATTGGAATATGTAACATGTTCTCAGCGATGACTGGTGCTCTTGTTGATCCAAGTTGTTTCTCGAGTCTCCACGGTACGACGACCGGATCTGCGAGGATTGAAAAGTTTCCATCTATGCTATCTGACGTAGTGTGGTCAGTTTTTTACGACTCGTACAACCGGAAATCAAGAAAGTCGAGGGGTTCGACGAGGGAGGCCTTCCTATATAGGTACATCACCATAGCGTGATCGAGCATCTGCATTGGGTTCCGATTTCCTGTCGATAACGGCATTATGCGTTCCACTTACCTTTTCTTATCTGTGGCAGCTTCATTGGCCTCGGCCTTTGTCATCCCAGATGAGAGTATCCTCGCGGAGATAGTCTCTGAGACTCCACCAGCCACGAATGATCATCCATCTCAAGCAGATGCCGAGATGAGCCTGCTGGGCATCTCCCCGGATGAACATAGAGGCTGGGGAAGAGACGGTGACTGGCGTGATGATGATGAATATCCGGAGCACGGCGATTGGCCTGGCTACGACGAAGATCCGCACGGGCGATGGCCCGGTGGTGACCGGCCCAGACATGGCGGATGGCCCGAACACGGAGAATGGCCTGGACACCGAGGTGATGGCGAAGACAGACACGACCGCGACGGAAGACCATGGGACAGATACCGACACCGTCCACACCGGCCAATCGATGCTTGTCCAGGCCCGTTCTGCCACGCGGACAAGACGACATGGGAGCTCATCAGAGAAAGCGAGCATACATCCCGACTCGCCGAGCTCATCGCCGATGACAAAGACCTGGTCGAGATCCTCAACAGCACGACGGCAAACCACACCTTCTTCGCGCTGACGAACCGTGCCCTAGAGAGACTTCCACGGGGACGAAATGGCCCCAGCCCGAAGCTCATGTCCAAGTTGCTGCGGTATCATATCCTGCCCGGTCGATTGTCAATCGAGCATATTGCTGGCCACGGGACGCTACCGACGAAGCTGACAGAGCCAGCTCTGGAATCGACTCTGCCGCAGAGGATCGTTGTCCGAGAGCACCAGAACGGAGTGATGTTGAACCGGAGGAGTAGGGTTGTGGCAGCCGACATGGTGAGTAAAGCATCAATTTATGGCACACATCGACAGATACTAACCTCACCTAAGAAATCCAAAAACGGAATAATCCACATAATAACCAGTCCCCTCCACCCACCCCCAGAGACACGCACGATACTGCACCAAGCACCAACCGACTTCAGCACCTTCACATTGGCGCTAGCTCGCACGAAACTCGCCCACAATCTTGACCCGGCGCAGCGACAGGGCGGCACAACCTTCGCGCCCACGAATGCCGCTTTCAGACGGCTCGGAGAGAAGGCTAATCGGTTTCTTTTCTCGCGGCGGGGTGAGGGGTGCCTGCGTACGTTGATGCAGTATCATATTGTGCTGAATCAGACGCTTTACTCGGATGTCTTGTATAGTAGTCTTGGAACGTCTCATGGGTTGTTTTCAGGTCGTCATGGTGGGCATGCGCATGAGGGCGAGGGGAAGGGTGGACGTGGGGATGGACTAGAGGAGGACTATGCGAATGTGCGGCTTGTGACTTCGTTGGAGAAGAGGGAGTTGAGGGTTGATGTTAAGAAGGGGTTTGGTGAGGTTGATATGCGGATTAATGGGTTTGGTAGAGTTGGACGAATGGATTTGTTGGCGAGGGATGGGGTGGTGCATGTTTTGGATCGGGTATTGATTCCCCCGAGGAAGATTCAGGATCAAAATGAAGATGAAGATGGGGAACTGACCATTGAGGAGCTTGTAGAGAGGTTGGATGGTTGCGTCTACCGGATGACTCGAGGAGAACTGTGAGGGATGTCTACAGGCTTACGACCAAGGAAAGCAATTTGAATTTCTTTATTCCTATGTTTGTGTTTCAATCACAGTAGCGATATCGGTGCTTGCAAATTAGAGCAAAAGATGTAACCCTTGGGTTAAACTATGAGACAAACATAGCAAGCAGCGATATCCTTACGAGTACCACATGTGAGAACTTTCGAAGACTTGCTAGTGCATGCGTCTAGCGGGCTTCATCAGAGCCTGGAAGGAAGACTCAAGAGCCTTCTTAACCTCCTTGTAGCTGACAATGAAGGAACTCTGCTCGTCGCGACTGACTAGATGGATCTTCTCGTCAGTTCCTGCATCGAGCTTGTTCAAGCAAGTCAACACATGGCCAAGATCAACCGCTGGATCGCCTTGGCCATCCACCGAGTGGAAGACGTAATCGCGGAAAAGCTTCAAGAAGTAGCGTTCGCCGCTCTCCGACCAGCGCTGGTCAAGTTCATACTCAGGGCGTTCATTGACGAACCCGAGTTTGGCCATCAGGCGCACAAGTCGTGCATTCTCCAACTCACGGCCGAGATCAGAGTTCAGCTGATCATCTAGGTGGAGTGCCGAATCAAAAGTTGACATCAGCTGGGATGAGATGCCAGTGATAAAAGTGTCGATGCTTCGCTCCTGATCCTTCTGCAGACTGTTCAACAGCCAGAACACAGAGCTCTTCAACTGTGGGCTGTAGGCGCGAGTGAAATGCTCCATGGCCTTGGTTGGGTTGTGGATGGCAGTGGGTGAGTTGGCGCCAAGGGTGACGATCATTTGGCCGAAGTTGACCAGATCTTGTCGCTGGAGGTCAGCCATAGTCCGCTGGGTATCGAATTGCACCACATCAAGAATAGCGCAGGCGTTGATGCGGACACGGGTCTTAGCAGTAAGCAAAACCTTGCTAGGCTCGAGCACTCGGGCAGCAAGACCATTGGCGTGGATCGCCTTAAGTCCATTGGCGATCTGGGTCATGTAGCCCCAGAGAATCTGCTCAGGAATATGAGCATTGGTCTGACGGCCTGGGAAGCGGGTTCCAGCGCTGAGATGCTGGTCCGCAAGTGTCTTGGACAGTGGGTGATAGTCGGTCACAAAGATCAAAGAACTGTCTTGGAAGCTGCGGCTGGTGAACGCGTCGTGAATGGTCACAACACTGGCGTTGCAGATACGCTTCCAGGCTTGCACGGAACGGATAGCCCTCTCATTGGTCAGGCGGTAACCTACACGGTTAGTTTGGAGCTACAAAATAGACGGGAAGATTGTCATACCCTCAAGTCTGCGAAGAGCATAATAGATGCCATCTTTGCTAGACTGGGCCTTGTAGATCCAGCTCGGGTAGCCAAAGATCGCAGCATTCTTCTGATGACTGAGATCTAGAGGGACGAGGGAATGGAAGTAGTCGACCTGTGCAGGGAGTTGGGTGTCTTCAAGTTCGTCAGCATGAGTACAAATTACTATTGGGTGATGTCTAACATACTAGGGAGAGTTTGTAGAGTAGCTGCAGATTTCTTCTGCAGTTCTTCGCGCAAGTCGTTAGGAATAAAGAGATCATGAACGTTGCGCTGGTATCCCAATGTGTTCTGGCTGTGAGGGCCAATTGGGGCATAAAGATGGTACTGAATCTGTTGGGCAGTTAGAGATCAGTCAAAGAAACAAAGAGGATCCATTGGAAACCAACGTACCGGCTGCTGGAATCCAGTTTGGTTTGCAAAGAAAGCACCTCCCATGGCGCCAGTATGGTCGTGGGAGTAAGGATTGGCAGAAACAGGGCCAACGGCACCGGGAGTCATGGCAGTTGGGGTAGTAACAAAAGGATCAAATGCACCCGTGGGGGTGATGCCTCCGTTTCCATTACCCTGAAGAGGGGTCTGAGTAGGAAAATTAGCACGGTTGCTCAGAATACTGTTGAACCACCCAGGGCTTTCAGGCTGAGGCGGAAGAGAGGTGAAGTATCGGGGAGAATCAGAAGATTCAGGATCGAATTCAGATGCCATGGCAGACAAGCCACCTAGCACCATCGTGATGATAGAGATGATGATAACAATAGGGCTAGTGCAGGTAAAGAGGGATGGGTAAGAAGACAAGAGGCAGAGGGGAGGAAATCGATGCGAATCGAGTGATAAGGGCAGGGACGACTGACCACGTGCTCAAACCCCTGGGGAATAAATTCCTGTACATCGGCCACCGCCCAGTCTTGCACTGCTTCTGACCGTGTTGTTGGTGTACTCGTGTTTGAACCTTTTTCTGACGTCAGTGAATGTTTTTGTAACCTCCCTCCCTCTCCACATGGAGCACATACGTGATGAGGTTGTTCGAGGTTGAAAAGGAGCTGCACTGGCAGCTTTGGGAGATATAGCTGTGGACTTTTTTGGTGCTGATACACCATTCCCAGACAGCAAGGATGGAGTGAAGCTAGGTGAGTCGACATTGAACCGCTTCTTGCTATCAAACGAAACAGTCCTTGTTAGCAAAATATGTCCAGTTGTCGTATAGAGACCAAGTGTTCATCGCACCTATCCGACTGATTTGCATTGAGCTTCGACGGGTCATGATTGAAAGCACAGCCTGGATACAAGAGTTCCAAATCAGCTTCACCACCCACGCTGGCCGTGATTCAGGTTCGCAATACCTTTGTCTTCATAGCGGCATCGCCCATAGATGGTCACATTACGGCACAATGTGTCTTTCGCATTCTCTATCAGGCAAAATCATTGTTATCAGCAACTCGGTCCATCTCAAATTCATCCACCTCCAGCTTGCCCATCTCAGACCTAAAATGGAACTGAAATGCCAGCCTTGACTTCGAATCACACTCACCACGGCTCTTCATTTTCGGTGATCCTGTCGTCCGACGAGCATCCTCCAATGGAGGCTTTCCGGCAGACGCCATGATATCTAGCTGATACCCACTTTGTTGGTGCGGATCAGCGCAAAAAGATCCCCATTGAAACCGGACTCGGTAGGGAACAAAGAATGCTATTGGGTGAAAACCGCATTCCCCTGTTTTGATTCTAAATCAAGTCACCTACGGTCCGCGCAATTGGCGGCGGGTCAATTCCGGGAGAGCCCACGGACGTCGGGCGGTATCTCAGCCGATAACAATAGGCATGAATGGGATATAAGGATAAGACCGAAGTCGTCTCTCCTCCCAAGGAATGATTAAAAGCGACAGAACTGATGGAAACGAAGACGCGGGGCGAGAACCGAACTCGAGCGAAGGGGGATAAGCACGGACCAGGCGGTCAGGACATCAATGCGAGAGCTTCTTGAGGCCACTTGAGCCTCGACGTCACGTCGTTCTTACCATTTACGCATGAGAAATTCTGCACGTGCTCAATGACCGACCTCAAATGATCTTCCGCTTCATGGCTGTTCCTTTCTCTCTCTTTTAATACCACCTCTATCCCTGAGTTTATGGCTTACGGCCCTTCTACAACAAGATGTCACAACCGGAGGTTGACCTGGACGGGCTTTCTGATAGCGAGAAGTCTACGCTAGAAATGTACATGGCTGTCACCAGTCAGGAACCTTCCGAAGCAATTCCGCTACTACGTCGGTCACAATGGAATGTGCAGGTTGGTCTATCTTCCCCGGCTTCCAGTCAAGCGAACGAGCGTTTAACTGATCCCCGCATGATAGATTGCCATATCCAAGTTTTTTGATGGCGAAGGCCCAGATCCCGTTGAAGAAGCCCGCGCTGCCTTGGATCGCCCCCCCCCCCCAACCCAATCGCCGAACCCAGAATTTAATGACCGACGATTTGACCGAACACTTGTCGCAAGTTGCTCGTGCCACAGCTACAGATCTGGCGCCACGAGTTAACTTACAGCCGGCAGACCAGCCAACCTACCGACCTCCATTTATTCTTAGCCTACTTCTCACTCCATTTAATTTGGTATACCGAATTCTTTGCAGTTCATTCCGCCTATTTGGTGTCCTCTTCCCTTTCTTGCCACGCTTGTTTAACAGGACAGCGAACCCCGCGCTGCAAGGTGCTCGCCGGAATACCACTGGCCGTCGATCCCTCGGTCCCAAAGATACTGCCGCTCGCTTTATCCGCGAGTTCGAGGAAGAATATGAATCTATCCCGATTCCATTCCTGGAGAACGGATACAACATGGCGCTGGAGAAAGCCCATCGCGACTTGAAGTACCTCCTGGTCATTCTCTTATCTCCAGAGCACGACGATACGGACAGCTGGGTCCGGGATACTCTGCTGGCACCTGAGGTCGTGGAATTCATCAATGACCCCCAGAACAACCTCCTGGTGTGGGGCGGCAACGTGCGAGATTCCGAAGCATACCAAGTCGCCAACTCATTGAAATGCACCAAATTCCCCTTTGCAGCGGTCATCGTCCATACACCAAATGTTTCATCAACCGCGATGTCTGTTGTAGGACGGATCGCAGGTCTCACGACGCCATCCGAGGTCGTGAACAAGCTCCGGACAGTCGTGACATCTAACAGCGAGCCCCTGGAGCGACTCCGATCTTCACGCGCGGAGCAACAAGCCTCGCGCAGCCTCCGCGAAGAGCAAGACTCAGCCTACGAGCGGTCGCTGGCGATCGACCGTGAACGGGCGCGCCAGCGCCGGGAAGCGGAGTTGGCACGTCAACGCGAAGAACAGGAAGCCGCTGACCGACAGGCGGCTGAAGAGCAACGGCTCCGCGATCTCGCCCAGTGGAAGCTTTGGCGCGGGCAATCGCTTAGTGCGGAGCCCGGGCCGGATGTCAAAGATGCCGTTCGTATTAGCGTGCGGCTCCCGTCCGGCGAGCGCATCATGCGTAAGTTTGCGCCCGATGCAGACATTGAAGAGATCTACGCGGTGGTTGAGTGCTACGAGATATTACAGGAGCAGGATACAGAGCGTCATGTGGTGAGTGCGCCGGAGGGGTTTGTGCACCACTACGGATTTCGACTGGTCTCACCGATGCCTCGGGTAGTGTATGCTGTTGATGAGGGAGGGTCGATCAGAGAGAAGATTGGGCGTGGCGGTAATCTGTTGGTGGAACCAATCGACGAGGATGAAGACGATGCAGATGATGACGAGGTGACCGACATGTCTTGAATGTGACTGGTCTCCATAATTGGGCTCCTTGGAAGACCAAGACTGACACACCGCTGTTGTTTTTTTAACAATATCCAATGTACAATTTAGATTATTATGATTCAATATTTCGCTTTCCCTGCGTGGCCGACTTATAACTGTACATTCTGGTCAGATTTTGAAATTGTCTGCTAACCGAAGGCATATTCCGTATTTAGCACGGCGTAAGCGTAAGCATTGCAGCCTAGCGCCTGGCTAGGCTCGTCCAAGGATCAACGAACCATCATGCCGCATATCAGCCCCCATGCAAGGGTTCATCAGCACGTATCTGACAGTGCCACATGTTGGTACGTCAGATTTGCAAGGAATTTCATAACCGGAGACATGACTCAGACGAAACCAGCCGAATTTGGTCCATTCCTTCCCAACCTTGGAAGATACATATACATCCATGTAATTCGGGGTTAGGAGGCCAAGTACGAGTTAGGGGACGGAGATAAGATGGAATTAACAATTGCCCCAGTGGGTGGAAGTGACATGCGATTTAGCGTTCTAAGATCCATGGATCCCCCAAGAATAGCTGAGTCAGCCCCGCTCGGATGCATCGCGCCCGAGCATCCGAGCCCTGTGTGGGACGGATAGCGGTGGTCCCGGGCTGCTGAGTCTGGAAACCTTGTTTTCCCACCTGGCATGGACACGTGTAGGATGTATGAAGAACATGGCAGGTACATCATTATACCTGCTGTGTATCCCTTGTTTGGCTGTCGTGTGGAAGTACCAGGTACATGCAGTGTAGAATCATCCATCGCATGTTCTACCTTACCTCCGTGGACAACAAATTCAAGGAAAATGGCCATAGTTTCTTGGCAATCAGCCACTAAGGACTAGCTAGAGTCTCAGAAAAATACGAAACCAAAATTCGTGATTGGAATCTCCGGAAAGTCACCAGCTCCGCCCCGGAGTCAGTTTCGACGGGAGTCCCCGTTTTTTATTTTCTTTCCGGGCAAAGGATACAACTTTTCCGAGTCCCGATCTCTAGATCTTTTGAATCCTTGGGATTTTGTGTCTTTTCATATCCGTACTTAATTCAAATTCTTCGCTGATTGCCTTCCTTCGTTATTCCATTAACTAATATTCGTACACCCTCTCTCTATACTGATCCCGTTGATGGTTCCCTCCCCTATCCGTCTTTTCTAGGGATTACTACCCCACTTAATCAGTTCCATCCCCTATTCGACAGTGACCGTGCTGGAAGGTCATCATGTCGCTCCTAGGGACATTGGATCCCGGCACCCAGGACGGAGAGGATTCCCATTCCGCCAACATGGAAGCTCGCCGCCATGACCCCACCGCCAGCGTGAGCACCGATGACACCGCTAATGAGAAGGGCGAGATTGGCAACGAGGACTACACCGAGGCCGAGGTCACTCGCCTGGCCCGGCAACTCACCCGCCAGTCAACACACTTCTCTGTCTCAAACCAGAATGCGGAGAACCCTTTCGTCGAAGTCCATGAGGACTCAACCCTCAATCCTCACAGTGAGAATTTCAACCCCAAGAATTGGATGAAGAATCTCCTTACCATCCAATCTCGCGACCCGGAACGATACCCGAAGCGTCAGGCGGGCCTGGCCTTCAGAAACCTCAGTGTGCACGGATTTGGCAGCCCCACCGATTACCAAAAGGATGTGGCCAACTCCATTCTGCAAATTGGCGCCGTGTTCCGTGCGATGACCGGCACTGGCAAGCAGAAGATTCAGATCCTCCGCGACTTCGATGGTCTCGTTAAGAGCGGCGAGATGCTGGTCGTTCTCGGCCGTCCTGGATCTGGCTGTTCGACTTTCTTGAAGACTATTGCAGGAGACTTGAACGGCATCTTCAAGGATGGTAACTCTCATATGAACTACCAAGGAATCTCCGACAAGCAGATGCACAGCCAGTTCCGCGGTGAGGCCATCTACACCGCTGAAACCGATGTGCATTTCCCTCAGCTTTCGGTTGGAAATACCTTGAAGTTCGCTGCTCTCGCTCGCGCCCCGCGCAACCGTTTGCCGGGCGTCACTCGCGATCAGTACGCAGAGCATATGCGTGATGTCGTCATGGCTATGCTTGGTCTTTCGCACACTATCAACACCCAGGTCGGTAACGATTTCATTCGTGGTGTCTCCGGTGGCGAGCGGAAGCGTGTCAGTATCGCCGAGGCCACCCTCTGCGGCAGCCCTCTCCAATGCTGGGATAACAGTACCCGTGGTTTAGACAGTGCCAATGCTCTGGAGTTCTGTAAGACATTGAACTTGATGTCTAAGTACTCGGGCACTACCTGTGCCGTTGCTATCTACCAGGCATCCCAGAGTGCCTACGATGTTTTCGACAAAGTGACTGTGCTATACGAGGGCCGACAGATCTACTTCGGCCGTACCACCGAGGCCAAGGAATTTTTCACCAACATGGGCTTCGAGTGTCCCGAGCGCCAGACTACCGCTGATTTTCTGACCTCTCTTACGAGCCCAGCTGAGCGAGTCGTCAAACCTGGCTTTGAGAACGTCGTTCCCCGTACCCCCGATGAGTTCGCCACTGCTTGGAAAAACAGTGCTGCGTACAAGGAGCTTCTGAAGGAGATTGCCGAGTACGATGAGCAGTACCCCATTGGCGGCGAGTCCTACGAGAAATTCGTTGAGTCTCGCAAGGCTATGCAGTCGAAGAGGCAGCGTGTCAAGTCTCCATTCACCCTATCAGTCGCCGAGCAGGTCCAAATCTGTGTGACCCGTGGTTTCCAGCGTTTGAAGGGTGACTACAGTCTGACTATATCCGCCTTGATTGGAAACACGATCATGGCATTGATTATTGGTTCGGTTTTCTTCCAGTTGCCTGGCGACGTGACTAGTTTCTACTCTCGCGGTGCCCTTCTCTTCTTCGCTGTCCTTCTCAACTCCTTCTCCAGTGCCCTAGAGATTCTGACTCTCTACTCGCAACGTCCTATTGTCGAAAAGCAAGCCCGCTACGCCATGTATCATCCGTTTGCCGAAGCAATCTCGTCAATGCTGTGTGATATGCCATACAAAATTGCCAATGCCATCACCTTCAACATCACACTCTATTTCATGACTGGTCTTCGCCAAACCGGCGGCGCTTTCTTTACCTTCCTGCTCTTCTCTTTCGTGACGACCATGACCATGTCTATGGTCTTCCGTACCATCGCTTCTTACTCGCGCACTTTGTCTCAGGCTCTGGTGCCCGCCGCCATCCTGATCCTCGGTCTGGTCATCTACACTGGCTTCACTATCCCAACCCGCAACATGCTTGGCTGGTCTCGCTGGATGAACTACATTGACCCGATTGCTTATGGTTTCGAAACCTTGATCGTGAACGAATTCCACGGTCGCGATTTCCCATGCAAAGCGACTTCTTTCATCCCGGTGGGTGAATCCTACATAGATGTCGGTCGGTTCAACAAGATCTGCGGAGCGAAAGGAGCTGTGGCTGGCCAGGACTATATCAGCGGCGAGGCTTACTACACTGCAAGCTTCCAGTACTCTCACGGCCACAAGTGGAGAAATCTGGGAATCATGATTGGTTTCATGATTTTCTTCATGTGCACCTACCTCATCGGCACCGAATACATCTCCGAGTCCAAGTCCAAGGGTGAGGTTCTGCTTTTCCGTCGCGGCTACGCCCCCAAGAAGGTCGGCAGCTCTGAGGATGACGTCGAGCAAACACACAGCGTGTCCCCTGCCGAGAAGAAGGATGGCGCTAGCTACGGCGAAGAAACCACTGCCGCAATCCAGAGACAAACTGCTATCTTCCAATGGCAAGACGTGTGTTACGACATCCACATCAAGAAAGAGGAACGTCGCATTCTCGACCACGTTGACGGCTGGGTTAAGCCCGGCACCTGCACTGCTCTTATGGGTGTTTCTGGAGCCGGTAAAACCACTCTCTTGGATGTGCTTGCCACGCGCGTGACAATGGGTGTTGTTTCTGGTGAAATGTTGGTTGATGGCCGTCCTTGCGACCACTCCTTCCAACGTAAGACTGGCTATGTCCAACAGCAGGATCTCCATCTCCACACTACCACGGTCCGCGAAGCTCTTCGCTTCAGTGCTATTCTCCGTCAACCGCGTCACGTCTCTCGCCAGGAAAAACTCGACTACGTCGAGGAAGTGATCAAGCTTCTTGGAATGGAACACTATGCGGATGCCGTCGTCGGTGTCCCCGGTGAAGGTTTGAATGTTGAGCAGCGCAAGCGTCTTACTATTGGTGTTGAACTAGCTGCCAGGCCACAGCTGCTTTTATTCCTGGACGAGCCTACTTCCGGTCTTGACAGTCAAACTTCTTGGTCTATCTTGGATCTCATTGATACCTTGACTAAACACGGTCAGGCTATTCTCTGCACTATTCACCAGCCGTCTGCTATGCTCTTCCAGCGATTTGACCGTCTCCTATTCCTCGCCAGGGGCGGTAGGACTGTCTATTTCGGAGAAATTGGCGAAAAATCTTCTACGCTCTCTAACTACTTTGAACGAAACGGTGCGCCCAAGCTGTCGCCCGAAGCCAATCCTGCCGAATGGATGCTTGAGGTCATTGGAGCTGCCCCCGGAACCCACAGTGAGATCGACTGGCCTGCCGTGTGGCGCGATAGCCCTGAGCGCAAGGAAGTGCAAAATCACCTCGCCGAGCTCAAGTCCAGCCTCTCTCTGAAACCCGTTGCCACAACCGACAACGATCCAACCAGCTTCCACGAATTCGCCGCACCGTTCAGTGTTCAACTCTGGCAGTGTCTCCTCCGTGTGTTCAGCCAGTACTGGCGAACTCCAGTCTACATCTATTCCAAGATTGCGCTCTGCACCTTGACTGCGCTCTACGTCGGCTTCTCCTTCTTCCACGCCCAGAACAGTATGCAAGGACTGCAGAATCAAATGTTCAGTGTCTTCATGTTGATGACAGTCTTCGGCAACTTGGTGCAACAGATCATGCCGCACTTTGTCACCCAACGTTCCCTCTACGAAGTCCGTGAACGCCCCT